TCACCTTATTCAGCTTCAAGCTATGTGACAACCCCATGAGATCCATGAGATCACCAACTAGGTCTCAACCTTTCTGTAATGTGAAGATAGCAGCATCCATCCATTGAGCTGTTAGCTTTATCCCTGGGTTCCTGCTGCTGCCTAGGCACTGTGCAAGGTCAAGGATTTGGCTTATCTCTGGGAGAGCATTCAGTACAGGACTGGACGATGGGGCAAGGGAGTCAAGTGATCACTCAGTATCTAATTCTTTTTCCAGCTATGCTGTTGAGCGAAAGATTGAACCTTTCTACAAGGGTGGGAAAGCACAGGTAACTATCCCCAGAGGGAGTTATGGGGTAAAGGGGTAGGGAGTGCTGAGTGGTTCTTGACTGAGACACCTTTGTCCCTAGCTGGACCAGGCTGGCCACCACCTCTTTTGTGTCTGTGGTACCAAAGTCAACATCCTAGATGTCGCCTCAGGGGCTTTGCTTCGGAGCCTGGAGCAGGTGAGGACAGGCTGGGCAGATGTGAGGGGCTTAAGGGAAGGGTAGCATATTCTTATAGTGCTCTGTATTGCCATTCTCCCCTTAGGAGGACCAAGAGGACATTACTGCCTTTGACCTCAGTCCTGATAATGAAGTATGATGGGTAGGGATGGTGGATAAGCACTGGTACCTCCCTTCCACACTGAATTAGCAAACATGTCTTATACTATACTATCTCATTCCTTCCCCCAGGTACTGGTAACAGCCAGCCGGGCGCTGCTGCTGGCTCAATGGGCCTGGCAAGAAGGCACTGTCACTCGCCTGTGGAAGGCGATACACACAGCTCCTGTGGCTTCTATGGCTTTTGATGCCACCTCTACACTGTTAGCCACAGGTAGGACCCCAGCGAGGTGGGTATGCTGGAGGGCACAAAGCACAAGGTACCCTCCACACTCTAGCCTCAAACATATTCCCACAGGTGGCTGTGATGGGGCTATCCGTGTCTGGGACATTGTGCAACATTATGGGACACACCACCTTCGAGGCTCACCTGGTGTCGTTCAGTGAGTAGGGTGATGGAGGAAGGGTGGGTGGAGGTGCTACCCTTGGAAGTACAGCTAACTTGTCTCTACCTTTCTTCAGTTTGGTGGCCTTTCATCCGGACCCCACTCGCCTGCTGCTGTTCTCCTCAGCTGTGGACACCTCTATCCGCATGTGGTCACTGCAGGACCGCTCTTGTCTAGCTGTGTTGACTGCACACTACAGTGCTGTCACTTCTCTGTCCTTTAGTGAGGATGGCCATACCATGCTCAGGTTACTGGCTGGCCACACAGGGCTTGGGTAGAAGGGGAAGCTAAGGCTGAAACTGGAACTGAGGGTTCTGTTTCTCCTCAGTTCTGGCCGTGATAAGATCTGCATAGTCTGGGACCTTCAGAGTTACCAGGCCACAAGGACAGTGCCAGTGTTTGAGGTATGGCCCTGCAGGCCAGGGCAAGTGAATGGGGCAGGGATGGGAGGCACGACTGTATAGACTCTGACCCTTTTCATCCACAGAGCATAGAAGCTGCTGTGCTATTGCCTGAGGAGCCAGCACCTGCACTGGGTGTGAAGAACTCGGGTCTACACTTCTTAACAGCTGGTGACCAAGGTGTGGGGAGGCTGGCCACATCTAGACAGGGGGGCTGGGTGAAGCCTATGGACCTCATCCTCCAACAGCCTTTGTCCTCATATAGGGATCCTGCGTGTATGGGAGGCAGCCTCTGGGCAGTGTGTATACACCCAGCCACAAATGCCAGGCCTAGGGCAGCAACTTACCCACTGTACCCTGGCCAGCACTACTGGTCTGCTTCTCACTGTCACCGCTGATCACAACCTGCTACTCTATGAGGCACATTCCTTACAGCTGCAGAAACAGGTAGGCATTTGTTCTGCCTAGTGCAGGGCTTGGGCATTAGGCTTCCTTTCATACAGCCCCTCACTCATGACCTTCCTGCCTCCCACAGTTTGCTGGCTATAGCGAGGAGGTGTTGGATGTTCGGTTCCTTGGGCCCAATGACTCCCACATTGTTGTGGCTTCTAACAGCCCTTGCCTGAAAGTGTTTGAGCTGCAGACTTTGGCCTGTCAGATCCTCCACGGTCACACAGGCAGGTCAAGCTCTCTGACATCCCTGGTACCTTAGCCTGGTTTGACAGCTTCCCTTCCCTGACTCCTTTGTATACTTGATCTCTGACCAATCTTCCCTTCCCTCGCAGACATTGTCCTGGCCCTGGATGTATTCCGGAAAGGGTCGCTCTTTGTCAGCTGTGCCAAGGTAAGATCCCATACAAGATTTGAAGGCATAGCCCTCCCAAGTGAAAACAAAGGCAACAAAACCATGACCCATCATCTCTTTTGAACTCTTACTACCTGCAGGATCAGAGCATACGCATCTGGAGGATGAACAAGGCTGGCCAGGTGGCCTGTGTAGCTCAGGGCTCTGGACACACACACAGCGTGGGCACCGTCTGCTGTTCTAGGTAGTGGATCAGGACTGGACCCAGGGGTATCCAAGGAGGCCCGAGCTATTGTTTTCTAGCACAGGGTAGAGAATGAGTGTGCTGGTTTGGCCACGCTGTGAGGCTTTAACTAGGATGTGGAACAGAGAAGAGGCCCAAGGAGACTTGGGTGTGATGGCAGGTAGATAAAATAAGAAGGCCTTGAAATAGAGAAAATGTCCCTGAACAAGGTCCTGCTGGAGAAGGTGACCCTTCATTAAGAGCTTGACTCTGTGGTTGGGACCAGTTGCTAGGTATGGTAGCTCTGGGGGTAGATGGTGCAGACAGAGGCATTTGGGGGCAATGTAAGCCAATCTATATCCTGAGATGGTCCCTCTGGTCCCGATCATGGTGCAGAAAGCCAGAGCTTGGTACACTGAAGACAGTCCTTGGGCTGAACAGTGTCTCCCTCTTTGTTGACCACAGGCTAAAAGAATCTTTCCTGGTGACAGGCAGTCAGGACTGCACTGTAAAGCTATGGCCCCTCCCTGAAGCCCTGTTGTCCAAGAACATAGCTGTGGACAGTGGCCCAGTGCTTCTACAAGCCCAGACTACCCAGCGCTGCCATGACAAAGTACCCATGCATGACCTCTGGGATGGGGTATGGCTGAGCCCTAGCATGTAATGGGGATCTAAGTTTTGCCACTTGCTCTCATCACCAGGACATCAACAGTTTAGCTGTCTCCCCCAATGACAAGCTGTTAGCCACGGGCTCACAGGACCGCACAGCTAAGCTTTGGGCCTTGCCACAGTGCCAACTGTTGGGTGTTTTTTCAGGCCACCGACGTGGCCTCTGGAATGTCCAGTTCTCACCCACAGACCAGGTGCTGGCCACAGCCTCTGCTGATGGCACCATCAAGCTCTGGGCACTGCAGGACTTCAGTTGTCTCAAGGGAAGTATTTCCCCTAGTCCCATCCCCCCCGCCGGTAACACTTCATACAAATACCTGTAAGACTTGTGTCCCTCTATCTCTCCCCTGCAGACGTTTGAGGGACACGATGCTTCTGTGTTGAAGGTGGCCTTTGTGAGCCGTGGCTCGCAGCTGCTGTCTAGGTGAATGGGCTAGAAGAGGGCTGGGGGTGCATAGTGGGGGTCATGCCCCTACACTGAGACCTTCCATTCTCAATCTCAGTGGTTCTGACGGGCTGCTGAAGCTGTGGACCATTAAAAGCAATGAGTGTGTGCGGACACTGGATGCTCACGAGGACAAGGTCTGGGGGCTACATTGTAGCCGCCTGGATGACCATGCCATCACCGGTGGCAGTGACTCCCGAATTATTCTCTGGAAGGTTGTGAATCCTAAGGGTGGCATGAGGCAGGGCAAGGGACAGCATTGGGGCTTGTCTGATCCTAATTTGATCCCAGGACGTAACAGAGGCTGAGCAGGCAGAAGAGCAGGCCAAACAGGAAGAGCAGGTGATCAAGTAAGTATGGGGTCAGCAGAACCTGCCGTATGTCCTCAGCAGGTCTCTGTATGCCCAACAGCGGCCTTGCAGGTCTCCAGCATTAGCACCTTCTGGATCCCCTCAGCAGCAGTAGGCCCCTGTATGCTCCCTGCTGTGGGCCATAGGAAACTGGGGTAGGCCTAGCCAGGGTCTCTGACATGTCTTCCTGTGTCCCACCAGGCAGCAAGAACTGGACAACCTGCTCCATGAGAAGCGCTATCTCCGGGCACTAGGACTTGCCATCTCTCTGGATCGTCCCCACACTGTGCTGACTGTTATCCAGGGTCAGTACCTGCCCCAGGAGCAGGCTGGGGTTGGGGGGAAGCTTCAGGGACCAAGAAACCCTTTCTTTAAGCTTACTTCCCTCACAGCTATCCGGAGGGATCCTGAGGCCTGTGCGAAGCTGGAAGACACTGTGCTCCGACTGAGACGAGACCAGAAAGGTTGTGGGCAGTGTGGGGAGGGGATGGCCAGGTGGGCAGAGCACTGTGGAATGGCACAACAAGCAGGATGACCATCTCTACACCTGCAGAGGCCCTGCTGCGCTTCTGTGTCCCATGGAATACCAACTCCAGACATTGCCATGAAGCCCAGGCCGTGTTGGGTGTGCTGCTGCGGCATGAGACCCCCGAGGAACTACTGGCATATGAGGGTGTGCGGACTACACTGGAGGCCCTGCTGCCCTATACTGGTGTGTGACATGGGCCTGGGTCCAGGGAAGCCCCTGGTGGGTTCACAGACAAGTCTCTCTCCACTGAGCCCCAACCTCCTCTGTCTTCTTCCAGAGCGGCACTTTCAGCGGCTTAGCCGGACACTACAAGCAGCCACCTTCTTGGACTTCCTGTGGCACAACATGAAGCTGTCCCCACTCCCTGCTGCTCCCCCAACCCTATGAGACACATAAAAGTTGCACTTTTCTACCTCGGCTTCTCATATGAATCTGACTAATCTCTTCCAATTCTTGGCTACACTTGGCCCACCGGGATTTCAACTGCACAAATTCAAGCCCACCTCTGCCCCTGCTTGAAGTCCCTCAGGACACAATGAGACTGAAGTCATTCCAGTTTTATTTAAAGGAAATGGGAAGTTGTTGCTCCTTGGCCCTGCCAGCCATCGAGCCCCACCCTATCCTTTTCCCTTGACAGATCTGGATCCCTGCATTTGGCTGGGGTTGGGGTTGACAGTACAACCTCTCTGCAGGGCTACACACATCATCAAAAGGGACCCTGGGTCCTTTGGTCCTGCCCCAGTGCCCTGCGGGTGATGGAGCAGCATCGGCTCTGGATGGCACTCGTACAGGGGCGAGTTGGTACTACAGGGGGAACAATCCTATCCTTGGTCACCTTGTCTTCCCTCCCACTGTCTGGGAGCCCTGACCTGCTCAGGAGGCAGCCCAGCCCTTCAGGTTGCAGTAGCACTGCAGGAAACAGGCCTACCCGTCCATTGTACCTACAAGAAAGGTAGGGTTTGGTTAAGGATTTAGCTGATGCTATGTGCCCCTCCTGCCAGGCAGCACCTGCCACTGCTCCACCACACACACAGTGTACCTGCACAGCCACCAGCCACGGTCTGAGGTTTCCAGCACATACACATGTGCCCCTGCAGGCACTGATAGCTCATCAGTGCCACTGCCCTCATAGGTCTGGGTAGCACAGAACTTTGTCCCTAGGGTAGATATTTGGGGATCACTGTAGGACTGCAAGGCCAGAGTCCTGACCTTTCCCAGAGCTCCCCTCTAGATGCCCTGAACTGCTCTGAAACCCACTTGAACTTTCTTTTATCTGTAAGCAGCACCCACCAGGTGATAGCCTGGTGCCCTGCTATCACCTCCCTCCTGGGCTTGGTCTCAGCTTTGCCACAAGGTCCATTCTTAGTGGTGAATTTATGCTATGGATGAACTCATACCACTGCCTTGGAAAGCTAGGCCTGACTCCTGGCCCTGGCCTTGGGCTACTTCTTCCAGGTAGGGAGCTGGAAACCAGGCTGTTTGTTGATCCTTGTTCTCCACCAGCCACCAGCCTGTTGAAGAGGCCAGGAAAGGCCTTAGATGCCAAGGCCTACACCCACCTTGATCAGAGAGCAAGTCTTGTTTTTTGAAATTGCTTTGTAGACCAGGCTGGTCTGGAACTCCTGCCTCTGCCTTCCTATTGCTGGGATTAAAGGCATGCACCACCACTCCCCAGTTATCCCCAGGTTCTTAATACTGTGGTCCTACCTGAAGGATGTCGTAGTAATACGTCCAGAATTTCTTGAGCCTGTGTGTGGAAAGGCCTGTCTCTTGTGTCATGGGTGTGGAAAGGCTGTAGACAGCGCATGCTTTGAGCCTCCAGGTTATGAATGGCAAGGCTGCTTGCAGGTTGGGATAAGGGCTCCTCTGGTGTGGGCAAGATTACCAGGCTGGGCAGGGCAGCCAACACATGTGAGAGGCAAGCAGAAAGGATGAGAATACCCCTTCCCCAACTATACATAGGCCAGCTCAGCCTTCTCATCTGCTCTTCCAACAAGTGCATGGGCTGGGAGTAGGGTGATATTAGTCACCTGCCAGGAGGCAGCATGGGCTTCAGATCCAGAGGACTGGGTGCAAAGAAGTCATTGAGTGCTGAGCTCCTTAATACATGCTCTGAGGCTGCCAGCAGTGCCTGTACATAGGTGTCCAGCAGCTGCAAGCGCACCAGGCCTCGGCCAGTATGTCCCCGACGCGTCAGCAGTGGAACATCTGCCCGGGTATCACAAGGACACAATGGAACTACTCACCCACACTTGTTTGCCTGACCACCCCTGTGACCACCCGTGACCCCTGCAGGCCTGACCAGGAAGCTTGGGAAGAACTCTCTCAGATCTTCGGAGCAGGCCCGCCTCCACTGGGAAGGTTTTCTTAAGGATCTTCTGAGGGGGAGAAATGTGTGTGAATCCCTGAAAGTGGAGAGAACCCCCAGGGGGAAGGAAGAGTCCCTACAGGCAGGAAGGGAGGTCATGTATCTGTCTGCCTCTGGACTGGAGGATGAGCCACCCTGTTGAAGTAGTCCTGAGTTATTTACCTGGAGCTGCCTAAACTCATCCCAGCTCCTGCGAACAGACGAGTCACTGTTGTCTGACCACCGCACAGAGAAGGCAAATGTCTGTGAGGAAAGGTTGAGTTTCTGTCTTCTCATAAGTCTTTGCCAGCCACCCTTCTGCCTCTTTGTAGTGGAGGATGGGTCCTACCTGAAGTCGCTCCATCTGTACCAGGGCTACAGCATGTGCTGATACTGGGTGTCTTGGACCTGCCATAATTGTGGCCTCCTGCAGGGTGCTTGAAGGGGCTCTGAGCAGCCGGAAGCAGTGAAGTGGAATTTCCCAACACTGCCCTAAACCGTGTCCCTGTTGAGCATACACACCTGGAAACTTTTCAGCTTCCTGGTTATTCTTCAAGCACAAAATCTAAGAGGATTAATCACAGGAGGACTGTGCTGGGGGAGGGGTAAAGCAGAACAGGTAGGAGGAAAAAATGAAGTCCTTTGTACTGAAACAGAACTGAGGGGCTGGAACTGCCACCTGGGGCTCCTTTTCTCCCCTAGCCAAGGGAACAAAGGAGGTAGGCAGCTCCTTCCTAAAGTGCCACCTTAACCTCACCTGCCTCCTCCCCCACCCTGCTGTAATTTCCAGGGTGTGCCTAACAGCTTGATTTTTGAATTTCCCTGTGGGGCTATACCTTGCTGTCATCTGAATCAAGTATTTCACATCTGGGTCCTTTTAGCTTTTAGGTTTTTTTGTTTTGTTTTGGTGGGGGTGCTTTGTGACAGGGTTTTGCTAACTTGCAAAGGTTGGCTTTAAACTTGGTATATTCCTGCCTCAGGCTTTTGTGCAGCTAAAGCTGCGACCTGTGTAACTAAGCCATGAAACTTACCTCCTTCCTTGGCCAAATCTTGACCGGTTCTTATATACTGGTTACTTCAGAGACAATGGAAGATGAGAGCAGCTGGAAAGGGTTGAGTGCCTACCACTAGGGGCCTAGAGGACTTGAGTCCCTCTTGTCACCCACCTGGCAGTCTCTGCCTCTCCCTACCAACCCTAGATACCCTCCACTTATCCTCCAGAGCCACTGCCTCACAACTGTCAAGTCTCCAGTTCCAGGGGATCTGACATCACACAGATATACATGCAGGCAAAACACCAGTGCACATAAAATAAGAATAAATAAAAAACCTGGGCAGTGGTGGTCACACTTTTGTTTTTTGAGACAGGGTCTCTGGGTAGCCCTAACTGTCCTGGAACTCACTCTGTAGACCAGGCTGGCCTTGAACTCACAGAGATTTGCCTATCTCTGCCTCCTGAAGGCTGGAATTAAAGGTGTGTTCTGATACAGCCCAGCTGGTGGTGCACACCTTTAACCCCAGCCCTCGGGAGGGAAGCTGAGGCAGGAGAATCTCTTGATCCTATAGAGCGAATTCCAGAACAACCAAGGCTAGATAGAGAAACCCTGGCAAAAATGCCACTCTTACAAAATAGAAGAAATCTTGCCAAGTAGAAATGGGATCAGGCCAAGACAGCTTTGTCTCAAATTGCCCAACATCTCCCATTGCTTTTAGAACAAATCCCAATACCTAGCATGGTTGGTTGGGCCATTGCCCAACTCTGGATCCTAGCCTCCACCTGCCCCCAGCGGCCTTGGTGCTTCTGCTAAATTCGGATAGCCTGAGCGGGTTCCTCATTCTATGGGGCCTGTGCTTAAGGGCCTTCTATTTAGGAGAGCTAAATTCCTACAACCTACACACAGCTTTCATCAGTTTGTAAATAAAATTTACATCTTCACCACTGGTCAAAGGCTTAAAGAGGCCAAGGACATAGACTTGCTCCTTGTTCCACTCAGTGCCAGAAACAGCACTTGTAGCAGAGTACAACTGTACAAACATTTGCAGAATGAATGAATGAATACATGGAAGCAGGGAAAGGAATTCTTCCTGTGACGGCCCAGGCTTTTAAGGCATGCACTTTAAGTGGCAGCTACATACAGAATTCCAAGTTAGCCCAAGTTACATGAGACTTTGTCTCAAAAAAAAAATTCTGAGGCTGAAATAGGCATAATAAATCTACCCTACACACTCACACACACACAGACGTTATAGGATGGGGACGCGTTCCGGGCCTCTCCCAAGGTGGCCGGGGCCGAGTTACTAGTGGAAAAAGTCGACCCCAGCCACTGGCACTGCCTGGTCTCTGTGAGGCCACGCCCCGCCGCGCGTTGCCAAGCACCCAGAAGCGTGTAGGTTGGCGCGTTGTACGGCAGAAAGGCCCCAAACTTGGCCGCAGGTAAGGGCCTGAGTCGAGCGATGGGGGCAACGCGAGAAGCATCTCGGACCACGTCTCAGCCCGAGTTCTCAGCGGGGCCGCAGCGCACCTTCCACAACACACTACACTTCTGGAGGAAATCCGAGCTCCGTCATGGACCACGCACGCCCGGCCCGCGGCGGGCAGCCAGGCGCAAGAGTACCAGCCGAGCCCGAGCCGCATCCCCCTATGCCGCCTCGGCCCGGGCCTCCCGCCCCGCCTCCTCCCGCGCCGAGACCTCCCACTCCGCCACGACCGGGGCCGCCGCCTCGACCCCCAGCCCCGCCCCGCCGCCAGGCTCCGCCTCCTGCCCCAGCGTGAGCCCGGCCCCGGACAGCCTTTCCCGCTCCGGCCGCCGCGCGCTGGCAGTGGCGTGCGCGCTAGCCTGGCGGTACTTCTGGAGGCCCCCTTGGCCCCGCCGTCCGTACGCCGGCAAGATGGCGGCGCCCAGCGAGCCCGCGGGCTCCTCTCGTAGCAGTCTCTTCTCCTTCCTGCCCGGCGGCGCGCGCTCTGAGATGACAGACGACTCGGTGACTGACGCGCGGGGCCGCCGCACGGGGCATAGGGACGCCGCCGCCTCTGCCTCGGCCCCGGCGCCGCAAGGTTTGGAGCACGGGAAGCGGCCGTGCCGGGCCTGTGTAGACTTCAAGTCGTGGATGCGGACCCAGCAGAAGGTGCAGATGCCCCGCCTGACGTCCCGGTCCCCCGCCCCACACCGGGTTTCCTCAGGGTTGACTATGCCTAAACATGTCCACCCCCTCACCCACACATACCGTTAGGCTCGAACTTTGAGCTTTCAGCCATCAGCCACTGTCTGGCTGATCGGCAACTGTAAAAGGGAGCATTCTTGTTTCTTTTATTTGTTTGATGATACTGGGAATCCGAACCCAGAGCCTCTGGCGTGCAGCACAAGCAATCTGTCACTGGGTTGGAATTTTGTGGGCTTCTGGTTGGGGAAGAATGAACTGACTCTTGGTCGGCCTACTTCTGCAGCGGGACGTCAAGTTTAGGGAGGATTGTCCGCAGGATCGGGAGGAATTGGGTCGCCACACCTGGGCTTTCCTCCACACGCTGGCCGCCTATTACCCGGACATGCCCACCCCAGAACAACAGCAAGATATGGCCCAGTTCATACATATATTTTCCAAGTTTTACCCCTGCGAGGAGTGTGCGGAAGACATAAGGAAGAGGTAAGTGTGCTGTACCTCTGCCAGGAAGGCCCTAAAGGGGGCCTGGCTAATGCCATAAAGAGGGGACTAGACAAATAGATGCAGAGGTAGCAGGTTGCTAGGAAAGTGACCACCCAAAGGAATGTTGAGTCATGGTAGCCTTCTCCTTCCTCCTCAGAGCCCCCAGATCTGTGAATCATTAGCCTTAGGGTTTTTAGGAAGGGTTTCCCAGCCCTTTTCCTTTATTTATTCCTCATTGGCAGATTAGCTCAGATTCCATGTTGCCCAACTTCCCTAATCTCTTGGTGTGGTTACTGACTTTAAAAATGGGGATGAAATAAACTTCTGTCATTCATTAGCCTAACCTGTTCTTTGTAGGTATTTCTAGGTTGGACCTGTTAGGCACTTGCACTTGCTATTTGAAGCCTGGACAGTTAGGAATGAGGGGGAATCTCTTCTGAACTGGGCCCCTGGTGCTAAGAAACACTGTGCCTGGGGCTAGAGACCATGGGGTGAGGCTCCCTGATTGTTACAAGGTTGTAAAGTTGCCTGCTTTAGTATAATTTTATTTTGGCCTCTTGCCAAGTCAGGTGAGTGGCCCCGGGAATTGCCCAAGTCCAGGAAACTCCAGAGTCAACCCTGCTCTTGGCTTTCATATCCCCTTGGAGCATAAAGGCATCCCCAAGTTTAATTCATAGCAGTGCCCCAGCCCTGGCAAGGGCAGAGGAGTCAACATCTTATGTTCTTCCTGTGCTTCTGTCACAAAGGATAGACAGGAACCAGCCAGACACAAGCACTCGGGTCTCCTTCAGCCAGTGGCTGTGCCGCCTGCACAATGAGGTGAATCGGAAGCTGGGCAAGCCTGATTTTGACTGTTCGAGAGTAGATGAGCGATGGCGTGACGGCTGGAAGGACGGCTCCTGTGACTAGAAGACTGTCAGCAGAGCATGTGGGGCATCTAGCCAGGATCCATGGGCGACCTGGCTAGAGAGGGACAGCCTGCTGATTAAAGTGCATCTGAGCCAAAGCTTGTTCCCATGTGCGGGGAGGGATCCCTAGGATGCTGCCAATGGGAACCTAACCCACAGGACTAAGAAGTGGAGGTGGCTGGGCCCCATGGGACTAGAGATGAGAGGCAGTATACTTAGTTCAGGCTGCCCTATACCCTTTATAATACAGCCTCTTGCCCATTATACACAAGGACATAGCTGCCCTATAGGAAGATGGGGTAGCCCATTGCCCTCCTACTATATAGCCAGGGGTGCCTACAAAACTGGCAGCTCTGTGCCATTTCAGAATTGAAGCATGGTACTGAGCTGTCTAGTCTATATTCTGTTCCAAGTTCTAGTAGGGCTCTTCACTTAGGGTGTATCTACCATCCTGCCTGCCTGGCACATGGTCTACAGCTATGACATGCCTGTCAGCAGATGATCCTGAACTTCTACTTCTGAGAGTTTGAGACAAAAATAAAATGAAGTGACTTAGGGCCTGGTTTCTGTGTGCTTTGATTTACAGTGATGGACAGACCTGCTATTGCTTGTCTGTGATTAGTTGGATTCTCTTGTTTGAAGTTATGACAGAAGTCACTATGGAGCAGCTGAGGCAAGCTCTTCATGGTGAGAAGCTGAAGACAACCAGGGGGCTTCTGGATGCTCAGTGTGCACCCTCTAGTTATTGGGCTCCTTTGAATCTGCTCAGCTCAATCTATCCTTGGGCTAGGCTCCCAACTAGAACATCCTAGCAGCAGTGGGTGCCTCAGTCCTCGGCATAATTACATCATTCTTTCCTGTGTTGGCCTTTTTGTGGGTGAGGACTAGCTTGTGTATGATTTTCTTATGCTGGCTACTCTTCCAGTACCCACATTGTAACTCAACCATCTGTAGCTCCAGTCCCAGGAGATCCAACATCTGGCCTCCATGGGTACCAGGTACAAAAGCCCACACAAGTACATACAGGCCAAACACTCAAAACACATTTGTTGTCCTTGTCTGTTGGTCCCCTTCTGTTTCTCTGTGTATCCCTGGTTGGCCTTGAATTCTCTCTGTAGGCCAGGCTGTCCTTGAACTCACAGAGATCCACTAGCCTCTGCCTCCTGAGTGATGGGATTAAAGGTGTGTGCTACCACTGCCTGGTTTAAGATAAAAATAAAGGCCTTTACCTTTCGCCTCAGGACTCAGAGACGGTTGAATCTCTGAAGTTAGAGGCCAGCTTGGTCTACATTACTGAGGTTCAGGTCAGCCAGGGCTTCATAGATCCTGTCTTAAAAATGAGAGAGGGCAAACCAATAACTCAATACATTTACTTTTAAAAAATCAAAGCCTTCATTTTGTTCCTGTTCAAAGGGCATCCAGGAGAAGACAGTGGAAATGTAGTGTAAAGAAAGGAAATGGTTTGAGCTGGCATTGGAGAGCTGTCAGCACATACAGAGTAAGAGAGGCAACAAAGCACGATGGCAAACACCTTTAATCCCAGTATTACATAGTGAGACCCTGTCAACTAAGGGAGAAGGTCACAGGGCCACTCAAGCCCACAGATCTGGCAAATGGAGGACAGCAAAGGGACTTTCAAGAAGAGGCTCATAATGGCTACGGATATAGCTCAGAGGGAAATGCTTGCCTGGCTTGGATAATACCCTAGGTCTTATTACCAACAATGGGGAAGTAAAAAGTCTATGAGGTAGACACTGGAGGTGTAAGCTGGATGGATGAACCAGGAGAATCAAACTTGATTCTGAAATGGGAGGTGGAGTGCCTGGGCTTGATTATAGTGAGGGCTTGATTATAGTGGGGGTTTTGATTGAAAGGGGGGAAGGGAGAGATACTAGAAATAGATGGGTAATAGCTTAGAAATGTGATCAATGTCTTTTGTTTGATGATGTTGGGAACTGAATCTAAGACCCCCATGCATGTTAGGCAGGCATTCTGCCACTGGGCTATAGTCTCACCAAAAACTGTTTTTCAAAGAATGTGCTGTATTTTTGGGTGCTGAAGAAAGTTATGGAGGAAAAGGGGAAAATGGGTAAGAACAGATCTGCCCATGGCTAAAAGGGGATGGGATGCGATTGGAGGTATCAGAGAGTTGACCAAACTGGTGGGGCTGCATCTGTGTCCAACTAGGGTGAAAAATGTTTCATACTAGAACCAGTGGGCTTCCTACGGGACTGGACTAGGTACTTTCAGTTATACTTCCCTCAGTGAAGTGCTTGGCCCTGCACAGTCTTAGTATGTGTAAACTATGCTTATACCTGGCTCTGGTCAGAGATACGACTAGGGGCCTCACTCTTTATCTTTTACTATAACCCAACTTCTGCTGTGACCATGAAGATAGAGTCATTCAGTCTCCTACCATCCCGGCACTGAAAGAGAATAAAGTAGGTCTGTGGGGTTCCAGCAGTAGCCAGGGTAAGGAGGTAACATCCAGGACAAGATCTTAGCTCTGCTGCTTCTCCCCTCCTTGCACTCAGGATTAAATAGCTACAGATCAATCCTGGAGACCAGAGATGGAGAGTTTATGAAAGACAAGACCCAGCCAGAGGAAGAGAACAGAGATGTTCACCCTTCACTGCTGGCCTGCCTCCCAGACGAGTGTCCCTGAAGGTAGACACCACTCTTTTTCACCTGACCCTGTTAGGAAGGAGAAACCCTAATACAGTGGGGATGTGAGCCACAGGCGATACAAGTGCGTACCACATCTCTGAGCTAATATTTTATTCATTCTCAGCCAGAGAGAGGTCAGGGTCTTCTTTTCTTACATGTTCTTTGGTTTTTCTATCATATTAAAGGGGTAATGAGAAAGGCCCCCAGTGACTTGCCCCAGGTCTTCTAAAACTAGGGGCTGGGGACTGGTTCTCTTTCTCTGAATACAAAAAGCAAGATACTATGCCTCAGTTTCCCATTATTTTCACCAAAAGGCCCTCCAGGTCAGAAAAGCAGGGTGATGTGCTTGTCCTTGTGTGGATGCTCTTGGCTCAGTCCTTACCTTCTTTTGCCTACCTCTAAAACCCATGACTAAACCTCGTTTAGTCTTTCCAGAGAATGTACTCATCTCCGACTCTGTCATACAGGGAACAGTAAGCAGGAAGGACGGAGGGCAGGGCTCAGGCCCCTGGCGCGTGGACCTAGTCGGGGGCGCTGGCTCGGCCCCGCCCCGCGCGCCCCCGCCGCAGCCGACGCGCGCTCCCGGGAGGCGGCGGCAGCGGCAGCATCCGTAGCATCAGCAGCCTCAGCAACCTCAGCAGCCTCAGCAGCAGCCCCGGGCGGTGTCGGGCAGGGCAGGCCGGCGGGACAAACGGACAGAAGGCACAGGTCCCGCCATGGAGGGAGCCTCCTTTGGCGCGGGCCGTGCAGGAGCTGCCTTGGATCCCGTGAGCTTCGCGCGGCGGCCGCAGACCTTGTTGCGGGTCGTGTCCTGGGTGAGTGGCCCCTAAACAAGCCCATTCCCAGTTCCCCATCTTCCTGGCAGCCCTGTCTCCCACCCTCACCCGACCCCTGCCCATCACCCCTCACCCTTCTCTCCGCCGGCCCCTCCCCCCCGGCCGCAGGTTGGGGTGACGTCACATGGCTAGACGCGCCCACCTGCGGGCGGGGGAAGGGCCGGCTGTTACCAATAGACCTTGAGAGGTCATCACTGGTCTCCCCCTGCCCTCAATTTATCTTTAGGTATAATCCAGTCCCCTTCTTCAGCTTTCTCTTCATTTTCCCGGTTCGCAAAACCTGGAAGCGCGCAGAGGGTTGTGAATGTGATTCTCCAAAGGGTTCAGGGACTAAATTCCAGATGGGAGATGGGAGTATGGTAACCAAGGAGGAATGCGCAGTTCCTTCCCTTTGCCAGATCATAAATCCATCAGGTTCAATTGAAGGGAGGTGGTCTTCCTAGACCCCCTAGCTGTGAGTTAAAGGAGGGCAAGGGGGCTCATCTGGGAAGGCTTCCTGGAAATGGCATGGAAGCTGTAGACTGGGGGTAATCTATCCCACTTATGCATGTCTTGCCTGTCCTAACCCCTAGGACAGAAGATTTAGGAGATGGGTGCCAAGTTCTGGATTTTGTCCAGCGGGCACTCATCTAATCTCAATGCCTGTCTTGGAGGAGGGCATTTCCCCGGGTGGGGCAGCCCCTTCCCCCAAGACTTCATGGACTGAAGCAAGACTCTTCTGGTCCTGACTTGTAGATTGCTCTCGAGGGACATGTCCATGCTGTGGCATTTTCCATAACTACATTATCAAGGAGTTTTGGTGAGAAAGGAGTCAAATACGATTTGACACTAGAGGACATTTCTTGGAAACCCCGGACTGCCTAGACTTAGAAATGTGTGTTTAAAATGACTAGTTTGCTTCCATCCTGCCACTGGTAGGCAGGAGGTACTGAGGACCACCCAAACCTTACAAGTCAGTTGTCAGTTTTGGATCACAAATCTCTTGATTGATATAACTGATTACTTGACTCTGTAACTGATTACTCATGGGGGTCATTTCTGATGTTCACTATTGCTAGTAGACATTCTTGGACCCAGCATTCCTAGTCAGGTCAGTTTACTCGGTGTGGTAAACCGAAGAGCAGACAGACAGCTTGTGCAGAAGTCCGTTCAAAAGGGAAGAGCCTGGCATATTTGCATATTTCTCTAGATAGCTGTCCCTTGACTTTACTCTCAACAGTGCCCTGGCCCACCACAACCCTGGAAGTCATCTATATAGGTGAAAGCTCCTGTCTTCACACTTTTCTTTTTTTCACACAGGGTTTCTCTGTTTAACAGCCCTGGCTGTTTGTAGACCAGACTGGCCTTGAACTCACTGAGATCTGCCTGCCTCTGCCTCCCAAGTGCTGGGATTAAAAGCATGCATCACCTTCTCTGCAGTTTTATGTCTATTCTGGGAGGCCATAGGTTCCAAGGCCTGCAGAAGAGTCACAACTTTAGCAGTCATGTGACCCTGAGAAATGGCTTCATTGTGGGAACCCGATGCCTCCTTATACAGGGGGTAAAAAGAGTAGTGACTCTAATATTTTATGTTTATGGGTACTTTCCTGCATGTATGTCTGTGAACCATGTGTGTGTTTGATACTGGCAGAGGCCAGAAAGGGCATCAGATCCTGTGTAACTAAGTTACAGTCATAAGCTTCCTTGTGGGTGCTGGGAATTGAACCCTGGTCCTATAGGAGAATGTACCCAGTGTTCTTAACTGTTGAGCCATCTTATCAGTCCTGTGTTATTGTTCTATTGGTGCCTTATGTAGCCAAGGCTCTCTTCCTCTGATTTTTAAAAAGAATTTTTTTTTAATGTTTTGAGACAGTTTCTCTGTGTAGCTCTCTGGCTGTCCTGGAACTAGCTCTGTAGACCAGGCTGGCCTAGAACCCACAGAGATCCGCTGACCTCTGCCTCCTGAGTGCTGGAATTAAAGGTATGCAGCTTCTTCAGTAATTCCTCAGTATGCAAGAGGGTGGAACGATGGGTTCAGTGCTGCAGGGAAACTCTAGGACAGGCATGGAGACTTGGGCTCTTGACAGGAGCAACTGATGCCTTAGGCAGCCCTAAACTAGATCTGCTGCCTGCAGGTGTTCTCTATTGCTGTGTTCGGGCCCATAGTCAACGAGGGCTATGTGAATTCGGACAGCGGTCCAGAGTTGCGTTGTGTCTTCAACGGAAATGCGGGCGCCTGTCGCTTCGGCATCGTGCTGGGTCTCGGGGCCTTCATCGCCTGCGCGGCCTTCCTGCTGCTGGACGTACGCTTTCAGCAGATCAGCAGCGTTCGAGACCGCCGCCGCGCAGTGCTGCTGGATCTGGGCTTCTCAGGTGGGCGAAGCCAGCGGTGAGAGGCGGAGCCTAATGTAGAGAGTGGGGCTGGTGGTTGAGCTAGAGGGGCATACAACCTGACTCAATCGTGGAGATCCAAGGGTCTTTGCTGGGACGTGACTGGGCGTCTTAAGAAATGGGACCAGGTGCGGGGATTCCTGCTGGGAGTATGTAGCAGGCTGTGAGATGCGCCTCAGGGTTTTGGTTCAGTAGGACCCAACCACAAGAGGGTCGGACCTAGAGGTACACAGGGAGTCCTACATTGGGAGAGCCCGAGGTCTCAGGGCACTGAAAAGGATCCCTGACACGCTGAACAAGGCTGGGCAGTGAGGGGGGCGGGGCTTGGAGGTCTCATAAATGGGGATTTGGTGGCGAATCCGAAGGACACTCACTGCACCTTGTCTGAATGCGAGGTCCTGTGGTTCAACTAGAGCACAAATTCTGGTGATGGAACACCATCTGATCACCAGTCCCCACCTGCAGGGGTCTGGTCCTTCCTGTGGTTCGTAGGCTTCTGTTTCCTCACCAATCAGTGGCAGCGCACAGCGCCAGGGCCAGGCACTGCGCAGGCTGGGGATGCAGCGCGGGCCGCCATCACGTTCAGCTTCTTTTCCATCCTCAGCTGGGTGAGTGTGGGTCCTGTCGGTGGTGGGGCCAGCAGTGTATCCGGGTTCACTCCAGCTGACCCTGGCTCTCCAATCCAGGTGGCGCTCACCGTGAAGGCCCTGCAGCGGTTCCGCCTGGGCACCGATATGTCTCTCTTCGCCACGGATCAGCTGGGTGCTGGGGCTGCCCAGGGCTACCCAGGCTACCCAGTGGGCAGTGGTGTGGAGGGCACAGAAACATACCAGAGCCCTCCCTTCACCGAAACCCTGGACACCAGCCCCAAAGGGTACCAGGTGCCTGCCTACTAATAGTTATTAGGCTCAGGCCAGGGCTAGAAGGCCACCTCACCATCGTAGGCCTCAAGGCCTCCTGGGACCTTTCCTGGGTCCTACCGTCCCAGTGCCAAGGACAGAGAAGGTGGCTGCTGTGGGCCTCTGGGACCAAGGGGAGTAGCTTCCCTGGGGTGCCAGGACTGTCCCCACAAAGTTCCCCCTAGTTAGAGGTCCCAGCCCTAAGGCCCTCAGAAGAAAACAGTACTGCCTGGAGTGGGCTGCCCTGGGAGGCATTCCTTTCATGGGCTTTACCGTCCACTCTAGGGTCAGAAGTCCAGTTGCCTTCCAGGGCAGGGTGCAAGGGCTTATGATGACTAGGGAGAGGGAGACTACTTGCACCCTTAGGCGGTTATGGCCCTTGTTCCCAGTTCTCTGTCCCCGTGGGTAGTGACTACCTTGGCTCCTATCATGGAGGTCCACCCTGTCCAGAGGTTTCCTCTTCTTCCTCTTGCAGGATCCCTAGAGCAGCTCAGCCCTGTCGGTGTTGTGATTGTGATTAAGTCTTCAGGTCTCATCTCATAGTGCCCCCATAAGCTGCCCCCCTCTGTGTGGCTCCTGCCCAGGTGTGAGTGCTTCTGGCCAGGAAGGCATAGACAGCTATGGGACTGAGTACCCACCCTTCAGTAAGAAGACCTTCCCTAGGGAGGAGTGAGACAGCTGGGTACCTGGATGACAGGCCTCTTATAAGAAGAGGACTAAAGGTCTCATCTGCCCAGGGTGTTGCTGGAGAGAGTCATTCCTGTAAATGGCTTAACCTTGACTTCCTGAACCAGTCCCTCCCTATTCTATCATCTGTTCCCTTTTAAGGCCCAGACCAGGTCCCTGTGCATAGCATTCATGCATTGCTTGAAGCTGGCTTTACACATCAATTCAAAACCAAATGCGTGGCCATAGCTCATTCTTCCAGACAAAACGCCTCCCTGTGGAGTTGCAGTTGAATGACAACCCTGTATGTTGTAGCATAGACCAATTATGTGGCTATTTAAGTGAACATGTTTACAATTTTTGTATATATGGATCTATTCCTCTCTCTTCTGAAAGAACAATCCGTGATTGTGTATTTTCAGTGTCCCTGTTACAACTGCAATTTTCTTTACAATAAAGACTGTAAATGCACTGACCACAATTAAGGTGCTCCAGGAATCATTTTCACCCCTGTCCCTGCTGTGCTGGGGGCTGCGGGCTCAGGGCATCAGAATCAGAATTTGGGAGGGGGTAGGAAGGTAGAGATCAGACTGACTCCTAGGTTTTAGAGATAGACCTCACATCTGTGATCCCTTAAGAGATCCTATTGGTCCGGTGAAATTTGCTACTCAGTGCAGGCTTTCTGAAATGCTGAAGACTATTGTGGAATATTAACTGAAGATATGTTACATTTGTTAATGCTGTGGAATATTTAATTATGCAGAGATGTATTGCATTCTTTTATGTTGCATTTGTTTAACTCTGAAGCTGTGCTAACTTTGCCTGTCTAAAACACCTGATTGGATCCAGACCATGGTGGTGCCAACTTTTAATCCCAGCACTCAGGAGGCAGAGGTTGGTGGAGTTTGAGACCAGCCTGGTCTACAGATTAAGTTCCAGGACAGTCTCCAAAGCTACAGAGAAACTCTGTCTCAAAAAACAACAAAATAAAACAAAAGACCCACCTGATTGGTTTAATAAAGAGCTGAACAACTAATAGCTAGGCAGGAGAAAGAAATAGGGTTGCCAGGCAGAGAATAAATAGAAGAGGATTGAGAAAATGGAGGAGAGGATGATGCCAGGGGCTAGCCACACAGCCACATAGCCAGCCAGCAACAGAGTACGAAGTAAAGAAAGACATAGAGAAAAACGGTAGACAGGTTAATTTAAGACAAGTTGACTAGAAATAAGTCAAGCTAAGGCCGGGCATTCATAAGAATAAATCTCCATGTATTTATATGGGAGCTGGATGGGAGGCCCCCAAAGAGCAAAGTAAAAAAATACCCAACTACAGAAGACCCTCTCTTCTTTTATCCTTTTCCTCCTTTCCTTTTCTCTTTTTTGTTGTAATATGTGTATGTCAGTGTTTTGAGACAGGGTTTCTCCGAAACTCACTTTAGACCAAGCTAGCCTAGAACTCAAAGATCTGTTTGCCTCTACCTCCCAATTGCTGGGATTAAAGGCCTATTTGACCATGCCCTGCCCACCCTTTTAAAAAGATTTATTTAATTTATGTACATGTGTATGTGTCTGTGTGAACGTATTTGTGCTGGTTCCTGTGGAGACCAGAAGAGGGATCTGGATTTCTTGGAACTAGAGTTGCAAACAGTTGTGAGTTGTTTGATGTTGGTGCTGGAGACTGAACTTGAGTCCTCTGGAAGAGCAGTAAATGGTCTTAACCACTGAGCCATCTCTACAGCCCCCACACCCAACCCTCTTTTGAGACAAGGTCTCTCCATATAGCCCTGGCTGTCCAGGAACTTGCTATTACCAGGCTGGCCTTGTACTCAGATCCACCTACTTCTGCTAGGATTGATGGTGTGTAACCACCATATATACAGTAACCTCTAACTTATGATTTATGACCTTGTTTGTGCTAAATAGTTCATATAAATGAAATCATACAAAATTTGTCTTTATTTTTCTTGAGATAGTTTGGTTGGCTTGGAAATCGATGTGTAGTACAGGCTAGCCTTAGACATGTGACTGATTGCTAACTGTGGTGGTGGCACCTGCCTTTGCATCAGTCACCATACTACTAGAGACTGAACCCAGGGAATGCTAGGCAAGCACTCTTCAAAGTGAGCTACATCCCAGACTCAATATGCAACATCTTTTTTTTTTTTTTTTTTTTTTTTTTAGAACAGGGTTTCTGTGTAGCCCTGGCTGGCCTGGAACTCAGCAATCCTACCTCAGCCCCCTGAATGCTGGCTGGGATTAAAGGCTTGTACCACCACTGACAGACTCAATGTCTTTTTTTTTTTTCCCCACCTCTTTGATAAATGTAATTTTTCTTTTGGTAATTGATCTAGATGACTCCAGGGTGTTCCTTCCATGGGATGACTGTCAGTTCTGTTTTTGATATTATGATGCTATTTAGACCTGGCCCATATGAATACCTTAAGTGTCCAATCTGATACCAGATTGGTGGCAAAGTCTGTAGAGATATATGGGCATTTGGGGCATGAACTTTGGTTTTCTGGGACCACTTTCCTAAATTCCTGACTTTATTGCACTTTCTAGTTTTCTGGAGCTCTTTTTTCAGTACTCTGTTAAGAAAACCAGACCTGGTCTGGAGAGGTGGCTCGGTGGTTAATAATACTGACTGTTCTTCAGAACACAATTCCAGTACCTACATGGCAGCTCACAACCATCTGTAACTCCAGTTTCAGGGGGTTCAAGTGCCTCTTTTAAGAATCTGCCAGCACCAGACACACACCTAGCTACTCCCCTACCCCTATTTTTTCTCTTCTTTCTTTTTTGTTAGATATAGGGCTCATTTAGATCTGGCTATCCTTTAACTACCCCTGTAACTATGCTCAAACATGAGATCTGAGCCTCCTGCCTCCACCTCTCTTGTGCTATAACCCATTTTAAAAATTCCTTATTGTAATTCCCCTCCCCTTTTAACTTTATGTTTGGGGCCAGGCATAGTGGCACCTGTCTTTTAATTCCAGCACTCAGGAGGAGGCAGAGGTAGGTGGATCTCTTTTAGTTCAATGCCAGCCTGGTCTACAAAGCAAGTTCTAAGGCTAGGATTATGTAGACCCTGTCTCAAAAACAAAAAAACAAACAAAAACCTCAAAAAACTGTATGCATGTGTGTAAAGGTTAGAGAACAACTTGCAGGACTTATGTCTCTCCTACTGTGTAGGCTCTAGAGATTAAACTCAAGTTGTCAAGCTTGGCAGCAAGCACCCACTGAACTATTTTGCTGGCTCTGCACCTGCTCCCCTCCCCCCCTTTTCTCTGTGTAGCCCTGGTTATCCTAGAACTCACTCTGTAGACCAGGCTAGCCTTGAACTCAGACCTACCTACCCCTGCCTCCCAAGTGCTGAGATTAAAGGTGTGCACCACCACCACTGCCCAGCCATGAAAGGCAATTTCATAGGTACTGAATTCTGTCATGTACCACCAGGTCTGTCCTGGGAAACCTGGGCAGTGCCTTAGCTCCATGTGAGACCCAGGGCTGCCAACTTCTTCCTATAAACAAACCCCTGCTGCCAATTCACTCCTCTAGGTCTGCTTACATCATGGCACATAATAAGTGCATGTACCGAGGCTTCCTGATAACTCAAGAGGCAGAGACACTCAGGACACCAGCTATGTGCAGTACTGCAAAATAAATTTATTTGAAGATAAACTGTCTTTTATAAAACGTCAGAGGCAATTTGAGATCTTAGATTTAACTTGTCTCATAAAAAGATTGAACTTCAAGTAGCACAATTTTGTGTCTTTTTAATCTGCAACTTTCTCTCAAACAGCCAATTGTTTACACAACAACATACTTGACATCTGACTCCAGCACCAGTGGACCCGAAGCTGTCAGCTCTGGGGTTGTAGGCTTGACTCAGGAGGACTCTCTTCAGGCCACTGAGGCATCTAGCTATGGCCACAGCCTCAGGTCCCAACATCCTAGTCCTTCCCTCCCCTGGTACATTCCAAAATCACAAGAATACAAACCAAGAGTGGCTCTTTGCCAAGCAGGGGACAGAACTCATGAGCAATGGTGCACAGGTAGACTATTCCTGATGTCCTCCTGGCAGACCCGACCAATCAGGAAGCCTGAATTTCAGCCTTCCCAGGGCCCAACCTAGCTGCCTGGCAGCTGGGAAGAGGAAGGAAGGAGAAAGGAGGCGCTAGGGTGTGACAGCTCTTGCCCTCACCAGCAGAAGCTACGTAATGATCCTGGCAATGGCTTGAAGGGAGGGGAAGTCATCGTCCCGGGCAGCGTGCAATGCCTGGTGGCTGCTGATGTCACCATGTGCCAGTACCTGCTGGCAGGTGGGGCACACACAGCAATCCAGGCCCAATTGTTGGGTGTTAGTCTGCCATACATTCTTCTTGTTCTTCTTAGACTTGGAGCTGGGAGGCTTCTCACGACTACGGAAGTCAGTGTGCGCAGACAGCAGCTCCTGCTGTTTGGCTGTGTCTGGCAGGAGTGCCAGCAGCTCACTGAAGATCTTCTGGAAGTTCTCCCCAAGCAGGTCTCGGCAGCTTTTGTAGTACTGAGCCGCAGAGATCATTCCCTGCCACC